GCCTTTCACCGTGGCCACGGCGGCGCCCTGTGGGGACGGCCTTTCACTGTGGCCACGGCGGCAGCAGAGTCCCGCAGGGAGTTTTCTCAGGGGCCCGGGACCCGAGACTCCGACTCACTTTGGGGGCCCCCCGCCTCAGCCTATCATTTCACAGGTGGGTAAACCGAGGCCCAGGGGTTAAGCCACAGGGGTAAAGGCAGGACCTGGACCGGGTCCTCCGGTCCCTGCTTTGCCCCTAATTGTCTATGACGCAATTTGCTCCTCATCAATGGACGTCGATGTGGCTTCGGGAATACCCCAGGCGCCTTCGGCACGAGCCGCGCGCAGTGGCCCGTGACGCCGACACGCAGACCCCTGTCTCGTTGCTGAGGGCTGCCTGCCCCGTCCTTTCGATCTGCTCTCGAGCGAATCGTTTCCTTCCCTGCTAGTGTGGAGGCCATACTCGTGGTTGCGGCTGCCAGCGAGAACCCCAGGGTGTAGGGTGTGGTAGGAGACTCTGGAACCCTGTTCGATTTTGAAGCACACCTTGACGACCCTTCTCGATGCCTCGGAGGCCCAGACTGCCTAAGGGTCACGCTCCCGCTCAAAGAGCATCTGTGTCTCACGACGGCTGTGCCCGCTGCCCGCGTGCCCGCCGGGTCCCTGGCCAGATGGGCGAGGCCAGGGCTCAGGAGCGTGAGTCTGAGGGCACCGGGGCTCTATGTCTGCTGCTGCCTGTGGCTGCCCCACCCTCTTCATTCCGGGCCCTGCCTTGTCCTGGCGTCTGGGGCCTGGGGACTGTGGCTGGGGGCGCTCAAGAGACAGCACCTCAGAGACCCGGTTGGCAGCATTTTCTGTGGAAACAGATGCGTGAAGGTGGTTCTGTTCCCGGGACCCCCTGGAAGCTTCCCTGGGCCCACTGGCCGTGAGGGGACGTGTGCATCTCCACAGGCCCCGTCTCTGCCTCGGGAGGCTTGCCGGTGAGTCATCTGGTCTTCGGCAGCTGTGGCTTTAGGGAAAACAAGATTTTTCTGTACCTTTGTGATTCCTGTGAATATTCACCCCTTCCCCCCCACCGGGTGGGGTTTGGGGCTCTGTGTGCCCCGGCATCATGGGATCGTCCCCTTGTGCCAGTCCCCGCACCCCTGTGCGTGCCTCCCCCCGCCCCGCCCCCGGCCTCCCCGGGGTCCCCCAGGCGGCTTCTTTCTCTGCCCCCCTTGGCACGCGGGGAGTCGAGCACAGTCCGATGTCTGGAGGAAGCTCACCGGCGCCTCGCTGGCATCGAGGCCTGGAGGGAGGGCTGGCGGCCTGTGCTCCGCCGTGAGTCCTGCCCACCCGCGCCCGCCCCGCTTCCGGGGCTCCCTCCAGGAGCCTCAGTCTGGGCACGCAGGGTGGGCAGGGGGATGCGCAGGGGCCGCCTCCCGCAGGGGACGATGAGGTGTCATGTGCCCCCCAACAGGCACAGGCCTGCTCCCCCTGCGGCCCCGTCCTCGGCCTCCTTCCTCCTGTCCCGTCTCGCCCGGGTCTTGCCGCAAAGACTGTTCGCCCGCCCCTGGCCTGTGGGCTTCCAGCGCTTCCAGCGCCCAGACACTGTCGTGTCCAGCTGGCGGGAGCCCAACCCGGGCCTGCATCCTCGGGGAGCCGCTTCCTTGGCCTGAGCGTGAGGCTGACCTCCAAAGGGACGTGAAGGTCGGCCTCGCACTCGCCGAGGTTGTCACAGAGCAGGCCTGGTGGCGCCGGGGCTCCAGCAACCGTGTCTGTCCTGCTTGTCGTCCTTTGGTTGGTTCCTAAACTTCTCACCAAGTAGCACATGTGGACGTGGCACCCGAGGCAGCGGGGCTGAGGCTCCTCGGCAGGGACAGAGGGACAGAGGGACGGCCCCGCTTGCCCCCCCCCTCCCTGCCCCCGGCTCTGGTGTGTGCTCCCCCGTCTCTCAAGTCCGCTCAGGTGGCCACTTCTTTGGTTTCTGGATTTAGCTAATCTGTTTTTTTGCCTTTAATGTTGATTTATTTTGAGCGCGAGAGAGCGTGTGAGTGTGGGAGGGACAGAGAGAGAGAGAGAGAGAGAAAGAGAATCCCAAGCAGTCTCTGTGCTGTCAGCACAGAGCCCGATGTGGGGCGCGAACCCCAAAACCGTGAGATCACGACCTGAGCTGAGTTGGGGGCTTAACCGACGGAGCCCCCCGGGCGCCCCTGGGTTTAGCCACTCTGGAGGTTCAGCTGTCCCATAGCATCGCTCCAGCAGAGACCACCCCCCACCCCGGCCCGACAACTCCATCCCCGTCTTCCTGCCGCATTTCCTGTGCGGTTCCTGAGTTAGAACTTTGTGTTTGCAGCGGTAGGACCAGTAAGGACCCTTCTCTGCTCCTCACGTGCCTCCTCTGCTCTCGTCAAACCCTGTGACACTCTGACGGCCACTTCTCCCTGGCCTCGGACCTAGCCTCCCTCCCGCTGGCGTCACTGATGTCCCCTCCCATCAGGGGTGTCCCCCTGAGGCAGCCCCAGTGTCCTCCTGGGACCCCCTGCGCCATCCCCTGGGCCTGGACCCGCGTCTTCCTCACGTTCCCTGTTCGCTCCCGCACTTGCCGGAGCACAGATCCCGGCATGTTCCACAGTCTTCCGGGTCTTCGTTCTCCTCGCACTCGACTGGCAGTTCGGCTGCGTTTAGAACTGGAGGTGGCAGGACACCTCTCCTCGGCAGTTTGGAAGCGTCTCTTCATCACCATGTGGCCGAGGAGGTACAGATACCGCTCTGATTCTCCATCCTCTGTGGTCTGTTGTGCCTCTGGAAGCTTATGGAATCTTCCCTTTAAGCCTGAAGTTCTGAAATTTCACGATTTGCCTGGTGTGTGACGTTTTACGGCCGGCAGGGTGGGTAGGCCCTTTGAATTCGGAGACGGGACTGACAGTCCGGGGAGGTTTGCTTGAATTATCTCTTCAGTGGCTGCTTTTCACTGACCCTCAAATTCTGTCCGTCCCCTTTCATGGAAAATTGGTAATTCCAACTTTTAAAGTTTCTGTTTTCATTTCGAAGAACTGCCTTATTCGTTAAATGGTCCTCTTACAAATAGCGTCCTCCCCTCGCTCGCGGACCTGGTAGCTTTCCTTTCTGAGAACATTAGTTACAAGGCATTAAGAAAATACTTTCCTTCTGTTCCCTGCACTGTCTCTTGCTGTTGTGTTCATTGTCTGGTTGTTTTAGCCTCTGTTTCTTGCCAGAGGGTATGGTCCTGGCTGCTTTCCCCAGACGAGAGCCCTGCACGGGGTTCCCGCCGCCCGGCGTTTCCGTGGCCTTCGTCCAGCCCCTCTCCAGTGGACGCTCCGCACCTGCCCTCGTCCGGCTCTCGGGCGCCCCGGGCCGGGCAGGGCCTCTGACCTCCTGCCCGGTGGTGGTGGAGGGCAGGGTCCTGGATGTCCACAGGGGGAGGGTGGGGGGCTAGGGGTCCTCACCGGCCTGCCCGAGCTGCTGTAACAAAGTTCCACAGACCGGTGGCTCAGAGAACAGAGACATATTGTCTCCCGGTCCGGAGGCCGGAAACCCGAGATCAGGTGTGAACAGGGCTGGTTCCTACTGAGGCCGTCAGGGAGACTGTTCTGGGCTTTCCGGCTCCTGGTGTTTGCCGTCACCTTTGCCGTTCCTTAGCCTGTGGAGGCATCGCCCCGATCTCTGCCTTTGTCTCCATATGGTGCTCTCCTTGTGTCTCTTGTGTCTTTTTATAAGGACTCTGTATTGGGTCGGAGGCTCATCCGACTCCAGTGTGACCTCATCTTAACCAGTAACATCTGCAAGGGCCCCGTCGCCAGATAAGGCCACGTTCTGAGGTCCTGGGGTTTAGGACTTCAACGCAGGAATTTTGACGGGACGTAAGTCAACCCATAACAGGTTTAATGCTGATTTTCCACAAACACCCGCCTTTGATCCCACCCAGACGCGAGCCTTCGGAGGCACCTAGAGTCTTTCCAGGTCCCGCGGCGTGAATCGGCTTATTTCTTGTTGGGCTCTGGATTTCCCAGGCTCGCTAAGCCAGGCTCCGCTCACCCTGTCTGCTTTCTTGTCTAAAATGTGTGGTGTTTCGCGTCTGTGGCCGCCGTCTCCGGTTCCTGGCCCCTGTGGTGTGGCACCACATGCCGGTATCACTTAGGGGGATTTCGGAAGGGAGAAGGTTCAGTCCCCAACTGGAAACACTGTTCTGCCTTTTGGATATTGCTTCTGATTCGTGTCTCCCTTTCTCCCAAGGTGTCTCCGCCCTCGCCAGGGCTCCCAGCGCTGCTGAGGGTGACCAACGAAGGCCGGAGAGATGGCCGGGGCCTCGGTGAAGGTGGCGGTGCGTGTCCGCCCCTTCAATTCCAGGGAGATGAGCCGAGACTCCAAGTGCATCATCCAGATGTCTGGAAGCACCACCAGTGAGTATGGGTCGTGACGGCGTTGTCGTCGGCTACTGGCGCTCAGGGCCAAGGGTCCTGGGCCTCCCCCCCAAGACACAGCAGCCGCCCTGGCCCCCACCTCCCTCCTTGTCCACCTGGTGTGTTGGCTCCCTGGGGGCAGCAGTGGCCAATCACCAGTGGGGCGGGAAGGCTAAAGTGATGGAGATGTGTCCTCTCCCGGTTCTGAAGGCCAGTGTCGGAGATCAAGGCGCTGACAGGGCCGTGCTGCCTCTGAGATCCTAGAGGAGGCGGCTTCTGCTGGTCTGGCCATCTGGGCCTGTAGCCGGCATCTTCAGGTGACCGTCACGTGACAGCACGGATCGCCTGGGAGGTGGGCGGGGGATGGGCATTAAGGAGGACACTTGTTGGGACGAGCGCTGGGTATCCCACGTGAGTGACGAATCACTGAATTTCTGTTCCCGAAACCGGTATCGCACTATATTTTAACTAAAAGCCCGACCAAGACAAAACCCCGCTGATCACTGGATTTAGGACCCACCCTAATCCATTCTGATCTCATGGTAACGACTAGTTACATCTTCAACAGCCCTGTTTCCAAATAAGGTCATGTTCTGAGGCTCAGGGTGGACGTGAATTTGGGGGCACGCTTTCCAACCCAGTACGCGAGATTACTGGTTTCTCATCTTGTTTCAGCTGCCCTCCACTGACACGTTCTTTTATTTCTGTCTGTCCTTTGGCCTTGTGACTGTAAGTCGCCTCAGAACTGCCTGAGTAGGAGGCCTGCAGTCAACACGTGGACAGTAAGAGATAAGATGACGGTTTCACGCTCAGATGTGCCCCGAAGGGTTTCTTTAGGGCACACGCAGGCTGCTGGAGTCCAGGGGAGCACTCACTCCGAGTCCGGGGAGCACTCACTCCGAGTCTGGGGAGCACTCTCTCTGAGCTTGTCCTTTGCTCTTTTGCTTTGCACTTTCATGTTGAGTGGCAGCACGCGTACAGACGCCTGCAGGCAGAGCACAGCGCGTAGCCCGGAGGTCTCACAGCCTGACCAGAGCATTGCCACCTCCAGCCACCTGGAAGGCCCCCCACCCCTTGCTTCCCACCCGTGGGTTAGCGGGGCTTGTCTAGGGTCCGGTGGAAACTGCAGCCGTGTTTGGCTGATATCTCCCGCTGATTGATAGCCTGTCCCAACAACCGCTGACGTACGACGAGAATTCAGGGCTCAGCCAGGCGCTTTGCCCCCAAGGTCCCTCAAGCGGCTAAGGCAGCTGTCACCTGCGGGCTCCGGGGGTACAAGCTGTCCTGTGTGCTCGACGCCAGCTGCTCACTCCGCGCCTCGTCCTCAGGTCGTGGGGTGGATGGAGGCCTCGCCCGTCCTCGGGTGCCCTGCACCCCCACGTAACCCTACCCCGCCTGTTAGCCACCAGGTTGGAGGGAGGGGCTGGCCGAGGGGAGGGACACTCAGGGCGTGTGGAGGGCGTGAGGACTGGGGAGTCTCTGGGAATGTTCTGGGCCCCTTTAGGCTCCGTGGGAGGGGGAGGGGCCGGGAGGTGGTGCCCTACGTCCCTTCGTCCGTGTGGGCAGGTTGTGGAGGCCCCCGGGTTTTGTCGTGGCTTTTAGGAACCGAGTCGCCTCCACTTGGTCCCTGGAAGCAGACCCTGACGGGAGGATTCAGAAGGGTTTACCGGGGAAGTGGTCCGTGACACGTGGGGAGACAACGTGGAAATGCGGAGGGCGCTGATGCCTGGGGGGCAGGGGGCACCACAGGCGGCAGGGGCTGGTCGCCGGGACCCCCTGACCTAGAGAATGCATCTCTGAGTCATTGTCCTCAGAGGCTGGCTGCCTGTCCGGCGTCTCCCCAGCGTGAGCTGAGGGTCGGTCCAGGGGCCTGCTTTCTTCGCGGCCAGAGAAGGTGCTCAGGAGGGTGACTCTCACCTTAGAGGTGGGAAGCCAAGAGCTGCACAAGAACTGGGACCCCTGGGTGGGAACCACGAGCCTTGGTGGGAACCGTGATCCCTGGTGGGAACCGTGACCCCTGGTGGGAACCGTGATCCCTGGTGGGAACCGTGACCCCTGGTGGGAACCGTGATCCCTGGTGAGAACTGTGACCCCTGGTGAGAACCGTGACCCCTGGTGAGAACCGTGACCCCTGGCGGGAACGGTGACCCAGGGTGGGAAGGTGACCTCTTGGGTGGGAACTGTGATCTCTTGGGTGAGAACGGTGGCCCCTGGTGGGAACTGCGACCTCTAGTAGGGGCTCTGGCCCTGGATGGGCAGTGGACACCGGCCCAAGGAGCTGACAGGGTCTGTCATGTCAGTGTTGGATGACCCAGGACACCGGGAATGACTATGGGGGTCCCTGCTCACACCTGGGCCAGGCCTGACCAGCACAGTCGCCACCTTAGACAGTAGCTGAGGGTCTTGGCCTGAGGGGTTCGCAGGCAACCAAACCCTGGAAGAGCCTGCAGAATAAACAGAAAGAACAAAACATCAGAGTCGGACCCCTGTCTCCCCTGGAACTTGGGAGTGGTCTAGGACAGAATGGGATGGGTGTCATGGAAGCAAATGGCTGGAGGAGATGATGGGCCGTGGTGGGTGAAAACTCTGACCTACCTCTGGCCTGAGAGACAGAGAGAGAGAGACAGAGATGAAGAGACAGACAGGGAGGGAGAGGAGTGTCAGAAGAATGGATAATCAGGACACTTGCTTTGGAAGCTATTTTCATTTTCAGAGAAAACAAAGCAGTGATGGTACTGATAGCAAGTGTTAGAAGCCAGGTCAGAAGTGGGGGTGAAGGCTGAGGAAACCCAGAGGCAAGGAGAGTGCCCTCCAGCCCTTAGCACAGAAGAGCGTGTCTGAGGAGCGGGGTCAGAGGGCAGGACGGGCTTTATTCCTGGCCGCCCCGGGGCAGAGCAGCGCAGGTGGGTGTACACCCATGGAGGCGGGGTTTGGGCGGCCACCTTGCCAGTGTCTGTGGGGCCTATGAGAAAGGGTGGGGACGATGCTCCGCTGGGTAAGGCTGTGCAAGGCCTCGAGGGCCAGCAGAGAAGTGTGGAGCAGGGAGCCACTCTGCCCAGTGATACACCCGGTGGGCTCCGAAAGTGGATTTGCCCAACGGCATCTGGTGCCAGGCCGTGAGTGTCAGGGATGTGACATATTTCTTGAACCTCAAGACTAGGTGTGCACAGGAGATGCCACGTCCCTAAATGTACCCCTTGAACCTCCATCGTGAGGCGCAGATTAGAAGCATTTAGAGGTGAACTTAATTTGTCGTCCCATACTCACTGCCTGGATGAACAATACGGTTCACTGGAACATTCCAAAACTAGTAATTTTGTGAGCCAACCAAATCGTACGCAGCGTACGCTTCTGTGCCTACGTGGCAGGTCTCGTGTAGGTTACTCGGGTACAGAGGTCCTGTGAGTACCCCCACATCCCCGCTTTACATAAGAACAGACTGAAACTTCTGGAAGGGTTTGCTCTCTTCTGAGTCCCGGCTATACAGAGGAACCCTCAGGATTGGGGGCCCCCCACCCCTGCCCCTATACCCCTGGGGCCCCGAAGCGAGGCTGGGCCTGGATCTCAGCGTCTCTTGTGTCCATTTCAGACTGGCCTTCATTCCTGGACCCTCTGCGCCAGTGGGAAAATTCATTTTCCCAGGAAAAAAAAGCTGGGATGGAAATTATTTTCCCAGAAACCAGAAGTGTGAGATCAGGCTGTCCATGGGGCCGGCTTCCTCTGAGGCTCTGCGAGCATCCGTTCCTGGCCTGTCTCCTGCCTGTGGGGGCTGCCAGCGGGCCTGGGCTTGCCTCCGTCCTCACGTGGCCTTTTCCCTACGTGTCTGCTTGTCTGTCTGTGCTTTCCCTTCTTACAAGGACCCCGGTCACTGAATGTACGGCCCACCCTAATCTGCATGATCTCATCCTAACTAATTACATCTGCCAAGACCTTTTTTCCAAAGGTCACTTTCTGGGGCTCCAGGTAGATGTGAATTTGGGGAGGACGCTGTTCACCCAGGACACTGCCTCTGGAGCAGAAGGCCATGGCAGGGCTGATCATCCAGGGCCTGCCCCCAGCCCTGCCAGGCCCCACAGGCCCACACCCAGCCCGACCTTCCTGCCTCCAGCCCTCCTCTCCTGGATGCTGGCGAGCTCGTCCTGGTGGGCATCAGGCAATGCACCGCCATTCTGGATGGTATGCTGGAATATTCCGGACCCTTCTCCTCTGCTCATAGTGGTCTTTCTCCCAAAGGCCTTTGTCAACCAGCAGCCCTGTGCACAGACCCAGGTGTTGCAAACACCTAATTCATCTAAGTCAGTCCCTATTTGCCATCACTGTTCTAGAATGTTCTTGGCTCCAAATAGAGTGAAACTGGGAACAGAAGACCACCGAAGGGAACTCGGCAGTGGCTGAGGAGGCAGTGGTGCTGCTGCAGGCCTGTTCATGGGAGGAACGGCCGATGCGGTGTCAGGGAGGAGCCCTGTGACAGCTGCCTTCTCTCCTGGATGCCTGCCACCCGATAGGGTCACCATGGCCATTCTGCTCACAGGGTCACAGTGGTGACCTTGTTTGCTGTCCCCATGGGGATGAGGACCGTTTCCGAGGCACAGACGGGGAAACCGAGGCTCTGTGAGGGCCTGTCATCACGTGTGGCCATGCAGGAAAGTGGACAGGGGGCCCCTTCATGTTGTCAGCAAGCGTGTGCTGGGCACGAGCTTCCAGGCATGTGTCCTCTTTGTCTCTCTCTCTCTCTCTCTGTCACACACGCACATACACACTCACCTACCTGCTGGTGATTTACATGGAACAAGTAACAAGTACTCTCCCCATGGAGCCCTAGGGGGGCAGGACAGAGGCTCTTACCACCCTCAGGGGTGATGTTCCAGCAGGGAGGCGGACCTTGCACACGTGGATGAGGGCTGTGCCTTGCAGAATCAAGAGGGCACAGTGATGGGGTGCAGAGGGGCTAGCCAGGGTGCAGGGGGCTGGCTGGGATGCAGGGGGTTGTCCTGGGTGCAGGGGGATGGCCGAGTGCAGCAGGGCTGGCCGGGTGCAGCAGGGTTGGCCGGGGTGCAGCAGGGCTGGCTGGGGTGCAGGGGGTTGGCCGGGGT